TACATACCAAACGGTGACATCTGTGTTCCAAACCTAATATATATAGAGAGATTTTTTATTTAATTTTTTTGAAATAGAGTGGCATCATGAAAGCATTTTTAACCACATAATTCAAACAAGTACTGATTTATTAGCATTTATTTTTTTCATTTTAATAAGTATTTCATGATGTTTTCATTATCCTTCATTATGTCAAACTCAATATGTACTTACTGTTACTTTATTTTTTGTGGCACAATGTATAGAAACTACAAATAATATACTATAAAAATACATGAATCATACAAATAATATGTACAAAACAAATAAATACCTATAATATTATTTAGCTCAATAAAAATGTTGCACTAAACTTTAACCCTATAACATTCAACTCTAAAACATTTCACAGCTAAACGCACAGGAAAGTCACTCCCAGGTCATTTCTTCTTATGTCACACACACTTCTTGATTCAAGTGTAATGATGGCGCAGTGTCACAAACGAACACAAGCCAGTTTAACAGCACACTAGAGGCGTGGAAAACTAATTGGACACACTCAATCCGGGGAAATGTATTAATTTCTCATTTCAATAATCCAGTGCTGCAGGCTAAAATGCTGACCTTTATGAGGAGGAACATACACTTCCAATTACCCACGATCCTCCGAGGCTGTCTTTGAACACTCTGCTGAACTTTGATAAACATTTATAATAGAAATAAGAATTTTAAGTGCATCAATTACTGAAACCTCCATTTTTTTACTTAAATTGTACTAAAATTAATATTGTTTTTTTCCCGTAATTTTACTATGACAGCAAGTCGAGCAACATCATAAGTTTGAAAGTATTTTAAGAAATTAATTGAATTCAAATGACTGCAAGACTTTTAATTGCCTGAGAACTTCTGACCTTATATTAATAGAAACCGAAAGCCATCGATTGGAATCGCCGCCTCTCTGAAGCTCAGCCTCAATTATTGAACTGAAGAAGAAAACGCAATGACCAATAATACATTACATCATTATCTGGGTCACGACAATCCCTTACGAAGAACATCACCGCTTCAATTACCAAAGGCGGTCTGAGAGATAGTCAAGATTCTCCGCTTCACTTCTCAATTTGAAACCCATTTCAGACAAGAGCCTTTCACTCAAGTCAGCGGCTGATTATTAAACCCTTCATTTACAGTTTGAGCCTTTGGATCTACTGTAACTGTGACAAAATCAGGTCACTCTCTCCATGGCAGGCCTTTCCCACTTCCATCTACGAGCCTGCAGTCAGAAGCACAAACTTTAAATCATGAAATGCCGTCCTAGACCGCATTTCAAAGCATCATAGGTGCTTGAGAAACAAAAGGTTGGAAGAAATAATGCTCCCTTCTAAGATGTTAAAATCTTAAGATGCATCATATGTATCTGAAGACTGCTGCCTATGCAGCCTCATCTCATTAGCATTCGCACAAAGTTTAGATGAATAGTTTTATAGGCACTGAAGCATATATTGACAAAGTGACAGCAACTAATATATAAAAGTAATTTGTACGCTCAGCTTTAGAAACATAAAAAACGTTATATTTTAATACCTTTATAAATATATTTATATAATTATTTTTTACAATTAAATAGACATTTCTGAATCCCTACCCTAAACACTTCTCAACAACAGTGTTATTTTAATACTACTAAAATATTAATATTTCAAATTAGGTTTTGTTTTTATATTTTCAGTTTTCATTTTAGTTATTTTGTCATGTGCTTTTGCCATCTATTTCAGTTTTAGTTACTTTAGTACTTCAATGTAAACCTGTTTTATCGCCCGTTTCGTCTCTAATTTTCTAAGGTTTTATCTATACTATTTAATTTCTGCTTTATTTTATTTAACACTATATGTTTTACGTTTTTGTTTTAGTTAACAATAAAAGCACTACTCGAAAAAATCTAAAAGTGTGTATATTTGTAAGATTTTTTTTTACGTTTTAAAGCGTGTGTCTATATAAATATGATTAAGTAATAATTACATGATTCTAAAATGTGAAAGTTTAGACATTGGTGGAATGGATGAACGAACGAATGAACTCAAAACGACTTGAATATAGTACCAGAAACTTCACAAAACAGAATAAAAAAAGTTAAATGTAATGACATTGAGCTTTTTTAATCATTAACTTCTTATTAAATACAATAAAATCAACCTATTAATCCAGTCAAATTCAATATTATACGAACATAAAATAATTCATAAAACATGCGCTTCTAATATGTTCATACCCAGTGGGCCTCATTCATGAAACACGAGCAGAATTCATTTTTGTGTAAAGCCGTTCTGACGTAAACTTTTGCATTCATGAAAATTTTTGTATTTTCAAAATGTTAGTTGGTACGAAAGAAATGTACACCTGCTCCCTTCCACGTGAAAATGGTGCATAACATGTTCTTTTTGGCAAACTGATGACACTGAATTTTGATGCACTGCCATTATAATATTTTCGTATAATAAGTTTGTTTGCTCCATTTATTTTTATTTTTGGTAGCTGAGGGATGATAAACTGTTTAGCTTTGGGTAAAACGCAGCGCTTGTCGCTGTCACTTTCTACCCAGCTGTCCAATCAATGGAGGAGGGGCGGGACAAATACTACACCGACCAATCATCCGACTTGTACAACAACTGAACAACAATAGAGAAGCTAATATTGCTGGTTACTGCATTTTTATATTCAGTAATATTCTTCAAAATGAGATATTATTAATAAGTTACTGCCGTGGATATTCCTAATCATAGCAACCAAAGCATCTCCGCAAACAAACAAACAAACTAACGCTGTGCCACCAAAGTGTTCTCAAGCGCCACCAGCTGGCCGTTTTCAGAAGAGCGCCTGACATTTTTCAGCTGGCTAAAAACTATTTGGTGGACACACGTTATTGAATATTTATTGTTAGCCATATGTTCTATTACTCTTTTTTTTTTTTTTTTGCATTTATGCAATATAGTCCAGAATATTCCACTGCGTTCCTGGACACGTGATTTGCGTAGCTGTAATTCATAGGCGCGGATTATGCTAATTGTGAATGAGCATGAACAAGCGCCATATTTACGAATGATTGAAATTCATTAACATACACAGGTTAAACTATCAAATCGAAAGTTTACGAAGCGTTTGTGAATCCGGAGGAGAGTTTTCGGGAAGGTCAGTTTTACGCGCGAATTAATCAGAATTTACTCCTATATTTACGAATGTTTCATGAATGAGGCCCAATGTGTGTACATTTCAGATGTATAAAAAATGTATTTGCAGTAGAACCACACTTTGCATATGAACACCTGCTATTACTAATGAGCGAATGAACTTGCTGTATTTTGGAACGACGGAGCTTTTGATTGACAGTGTAGGACATCGATTCACATTCAGGACAGGACTAGAGACAGAATGTGCTTCTCCCAAACATAATCGAGTACACACACACACACACACAGGGCAGCGGACAGTGATGGATCTTATTCCTTTTAATGCTGGCCTCTGTTTTCCAGCATTTGCAGTATGACAGTAGCAAAGCGCCGGCTGTCAGAGAGAATCTCTGATTCCTTCAGTGGCCCCTGCAATCTCTCGCTACCCATCATTTTCCTCTTCTTTCCAATTTCACTACTCTTGCCATCTCTCGTTTCTTATTTCAGCTTTCCCTCTCTCTGAATGCCATATTAATGCGCAACTATTGGTGTATGTTGGTATACAGCGGGAGCTCGGCTGCACTTCAAAGTGAAAGAAACCGTCCTCATCCTCGTTTGACAGACAGATAAGAGTGACCTTGAGCCCGGGCGCTCCTGAAGGCAACGGGTGACCTTGGTTGGGACGAGCAAGAGAGGATGGATGAGACATGTGTGAGGGGACAGAAGTCAGCGTGAGGTCTGCTGCTTTCAAACGGGTCCAATCAGCTCCACACAGCCGCTAATAAAGGCTGATCTGAGCGCAGCAGTGGGCTCCTGGTGCGTGTCATCCGTGAATGATTACAAAAGACGTTATATTTTAGTCAGGTTGTGAGTTTGCAAGAAGAGACAGACTGGGTACAAAAGGTACTACAGAGACGTATTTCTTCTCTCTGTTGTGTTGTCTTCACTGGATGCACGCAAATACAAATACAGCACGAGCGGTGCAGTCAGATTCACCAACAAACGAGGCTGCCTACATATGAGTGAAGCCTTTGATGAATAGCAATGTGTAAGATGACTTTTCATGTGTTTTAAATGTACAAGACGTGTTTTCTAACCCTGTGTAATTTTTTTATGTGACTTATTTTAGAATGTTTCACATTCCTATATAGCCTCAAGCTTTTACACAGGACACTTTTTACTCGTTACAATTTACTAGTCGGATTTAACAGTGAATTCACCCTATTCTCCTGAAGTGAGTGGCGGTAAGCTGAAAATAATATACAATGTTTTTTGTGTTTTTGTATGATCAAGTTTCACGATTTGTCATTCTGAATAAGTCTGATAACAATTAGTGAGGTTAATGCTTCATTTGGGCTAATTTGAGGAAATTATTCTGCCAATTTTATAGGAAAAAGCATTTCTCACTGTAGCATGTGATTGCAGAAATTTCCTTCAGCAGACAGACACACAAAACTAGTACACCCTTGTGAAAAATAAATTCTTTACTGACTCTGACTCTAATATTAAATGTATATTCTGAGAAAATACAATGTTTTCTGACCTTAGATGCATTCAAACCTGTTGTAGGGGACTCCAACACAATATTAGGACGCTTTAAACTACCATATGACCTGCTCTTTAAGTACACTCCAGTGGCCTTTTGTTTCATTAATATTATATTATCTGTAATAAGTACAGTTATTAGAACTTTTCTTTTAAAATCTGAAGAGCACTACAAGAGCACATTCAATACAATTAAGCACACTTCTTTTTCACAAGGGCATGCTGGGAATTCAAATCACAGTTCAGAGCCAAATAATAGAACGTAAACACAGATCTGTGGTTACTGTGTGTTGCAGACAGTGGATGACTGACCTCTCCCCTCCCTGCGACCCGCCGGGCCACGATCAGCTGAATCATGCCTCTCTTGTTGCCCTCGATGGACATGGATTTGCGGAGGGCCTCCATTGCTTCCTGATTGGTTTTCTCCAGCAGAGACTCTCCATTAACTGCTATCAGCTGGTCATTTATCCTCAGCCGCCCATCCTGTGATTGCACGCACAAGAACATATTAAAAGTGTGGTATATATATGGTTTGGTACTTTGGAATATATGAACATTTAAAAATAAGCATGAGAGATGAGTCCCGTAGCCAATCAGAGAGCTGCTCCTCACCTTGCAGGCGGCTCCTCCAGTGATTATAGACTTGACGAAAATGCCCAGGTCAGCGTGGCTCTCTTTCGATCTATTGCCCTTGACGCTGACCCCTAACCCGGCCGATCCCGAGTCACTGAGAGGGATTTCAAACGTCATAAACTCCCGCGTTCCATCCGGGGTCAAAATTAAGTCATCTTGTTCTTTCTAAAGTGATAAAGAATAGGTCAAATGATATTGATGAGTTAAACATAGAAAGTGTATTTATTTATTTTTTTCAATATTAAAATATTTTTTTCACAATTTAATATGCATCTAAAAATAAGCCACTCATTCCACCAAAGTATATGAACACTGACTGTGTCCAAATCATCTTAATCAGCCCAGCAAAGCAACAATTTAACCAATGGCATGAGTTTGGGGTGGGGCTTTCTGTCTGTTTGACCAATGACAGGCTGGGAAAGTATGGAAGCTTGTTTCCATCATTTCTCTCACAATTCAAACTTTATTCTTGCAATTCTGAGAAAAAAAAATCTGAATTGTGAAACAAACTTGTGTTTGGTTTCTGTCATGGAATATTTGTTTTCCTCAATTGCAAGTTTGTAGCTCACAACCCCTACTTTATTTTCGCAATTGATAGAAGAGTTTCTATCTGGCTTAATTTAATTTTAATTCTGACTTTATAGCTCACAATGACTTTTTTTCTCTCAAAATTGCCAGAAAAAGACTGAATTGTGAGATATAAACTCAGAATTGCAAGAAAAAAAAGCCAGAATGTATTCATTCATTCCGAATTGGTTCATTCATTCATAATTTTTTCGCCTGTGGTGGAAACAAGCATCTATTGGACAGTGTTTGGAGGATACCTGTTTGAAAACAATCATTTTGCAGATCCATTTTGTGACACAAGTGGTGTATAAAATGACATACCTCAGCTTTAATAAAAAACAAAAGTGCATAAAGCTAAAAATGTAACAAAAGGCATCAAATGAAAACATTATTCTTAAAAAAAAAAATAGTTTTGTCACTTTATAAAGGAAGGATGCTCACAGTAGCTAAATATGATACATTTTAATCCATCATTTCAGCATATTTACTGCCAGGGGACTACAAATATTCATCAAAAACATCATTAACTCAAAGCTGACACATTAATAAAATGACATTCAAGATGAACAAAATGAATATAATAGTATGAACACAATAAACACGGTTGAATTCTAGAGCTGTGAGAGGTGGGGAGAGATTAACACAGCGGGATCACATGACTCATTAAACCGGATGTTTACGATGGTTATAATGGAGATCTGTGTTAGCACCCGTTCAGTGGGCGCTGTCCTGTTATACACAGGGACAATCGAATCACAGCGCAGAGTCAAACCCATCATATATAGCACCCTACAGAAATACATTTCCATATCACTATACATCATATCTGGACCCTGACGTCGTTTCTAGCTGGTCAAGTAAACCAAGTTTCAGCCTAGTAGATTATCTTGGTCACAGCTGACCAGCAAAAATCCAGCTACTGTGTTCCAAAATCAGCTTTTTTTCCCAGCAGGTAAGTCATTAAAAGGTGTTTCAATGGAGAAAATTCCACTCTGTATAACACTTTTATACAAAGCAAAGGTAAAGTGTTTTAAGAAAGGTTCAGCACACACACACACACACAGAGCTGAAGAATGCCAGGTGCTTGGCTTTAGTCCAGCTGCCGAGAGCAAAGAGGCTGGAGACGAGTTATAGAGATTCAGCCAAGCATTCAGGTGAGGCCCCTATCTCTCCTTCCTTTCATAATACACCTCACACACTCACTCACTCACACACACACACACCATCAACCCGTGCCTGAGTGGTTGCTATGGCAACACAGGTGTCTCTCAGCAGACAAAAGCAGCTCTCAAGTTGAGAACCAACATCCAGGTGAAGGCGGCGGAAAAGAACACATGCGGCGGCGTCATCCGCAGACGCTAACGCAGCGTTCACGCGTGTGATTTTCACCCAGTCATTTAGTTCCTGTCACACCGTCAACAAGTACGCAAAAGGACCGCAGTCTTTCAGACTGACACAATGAAGAGCCTCTCATCAGCTCGCCCTCGTTCCCCTAGAGAGGCCCGGCGGCCGGAACTCATATGCATTATGGATAGAAACATGAAAAAGACATCTTTCTGAGTTTTACTCCAATTCTCGCCTTTGACAGATAACAGTTTTGTCGGTTGTTCCGTGGCAACCGAGAAATAACATGTCAAGCACTTGAAGGAGTTGTGCAGAGCTGTCGGTAAAGAGCCTCATCATTTACAGCTTTATTTTGCTGGGCGTGTTATTTAGAGGAGCTCAGACATATAATAATCACAGACTGTACTAATGCTTGGGGAAATTACAACACTGCAGTTTTATAATGTGCAATGTGTAGTGATAAATCAAACGGAAGAGAAAAGGTTCCAGATTATATCCATCAATCAATCAAAAGTGAAACTGATAGACAACGTCCACAAATGATCAAATTCAGTTATCTATCAGCCTCGTTATAACCAAACAGCAAACGCAACCAAACGAATAAATGACGATTCAGACAATTTTACAAAACGTTTAACGTTTTCTTAAGAAATGTGAGTTATGCTTGTCTGTCCGAAAAAAATGGCATGACAAAGCAAGAGTGGAAGTTTAATAAGGTATGGAATTGATAAAAAATCAATTATAAACCGGATAGTTCCGGTCCTTGATTCTGATTGGTTGAACCAAGTTCGAAGCTGTTGTAAATTACTCAACAAACACACACCTTTGTTTACATTTGTGTCTTGCTCGGCAACCACTTTGTTGGAACCACAACCGTTTCTGAGGAACTACATTGTTTGGCGGAAGAATAATGGTTTTATTAATATCATTGCACTTTATTTGCTCTGTTTTATTCTGTGAAACTCCGCTTCGCGTCGTGCCTAACAACGCCCCTTAGTTGTTACAAAATCCCCTGTAAACCATGGCTTCTTGGGGCTTATTGCTTTAACAAAACAAAGAAAGCAAAATAAAGCAAAGCAAAGCAAAAAAATAAAAAAATAAATAAAACAAAGCCAAAACAAAACAATGCAATGAAAGCATAATAAAGAAAAGCAAATCAAAACAAAACAGAGGTAAATGAACAAACAAGAATGAACAAAAGACTAATCATTTAAAAATCTATAAAAACAAAAGAAATAACTAAAGAAAAAAGGAAATAACTCACCAAAATAAACACATCTTTCCTCAATGAGTTGCATGAATGTTGATATTATTCGTGTCAGTTTTCACACCTGGCTCGTTTGGAGCATTTGTTTCTGAACCTGGCATGCTCGGTTTGTTTCAGCATACATGAACACAGCAATTGCACCTGAATCCGCACCAAAATAATCAGTCCTAAATAACTGAAACTGACTGAAAACAAACTCTTACAATTCGACTGTGATGAGAAAGTAATCCAACCCAATGGACCAACGATTCCAAGTTGTATCATAATTCAAAATAAGAAATGTGTTACATAAAAAGCAGCAGTGTGAGCACATTATTGACTTGCATAAACACATTTTGGTATACTTTAAATTGCTGCCTTGTAAAAGTGAACTGAACCAAAAAAGTAGAAAATGCAACATTTTTTTAAATGATCTACAGGTCTGAAAACACCCTAAAGGTGTGATCAAATTAGCAAAATTTTGGAAAAACGTTTGATTGTCCTTTGTAAATAGTGACGTGTGAAGCACAGTTCAGACTTAGTTCACTTTTAAACTAAGCAGCTTTCTGCTCTGCACTCAACAAGGTGAATTTGAGTTACCAACTTGAACCCATTGCAAAATCTGCAGGCAAAAATCTTTCACCTTAAAACTAAATTCTTGCTTGTACTGAAGTTGACCATGAAGCTTCAGTATGCCAAGTCAGAAGAAGTACTGTACCTGCGCTACACGTGTCTTAAAACCAAATTTCTCAGCCACACTGAGTCTACGTGTAGGTTCAAGGATCCGCAAGCTGTGAGTCTGAAAAGCTAAACAGCTCCAATTATCTGGCCCCAAAGTCACTGTGAAGATTTATAACATGTAGCAGTTTGTTTGAAGGTCTAAAATTGTGTTACAAACAGCTGGTTCATTTTCATAAGCCTTCACAACACTGTACATTTCTTTCACACAGTGACAGAGGAAAAATGCATGACTTTATAAAAGGTGCATCGAGCTCAACCTGGTCCATTGTGCTCAGGAGAAATTAATTCATTTCACAAGCTGACTGGATGGTGTGCATTCATTACATGCTTTTGTTTCCAGAGTGAGCTTGAATTATACTGTCAGTGCACAGACAATGAAGAGAAGAGCCCATGAGAGATAAGACAGCGTCTGAACACACACAGAGAGAAGAGCAGACGTCTAGCATTCACTCTTATACTCCACTGGGACTTGCAGACAGATTATACAGAAATAAAAAGAACAATTATGAGTGAATGAATGAAAGAAACAACGAACAAACAACAGTTCAAATAAAAGAAAAATAGCATAACTTATGAAATAAACACACTTTCAAAAGAACTAAAAGATAGAATGCATTGATGAACAAACACATAAAAAACACCCTCAAAACAAATCAGTGAACACAGAAAAAAACATCAAAAAAACTAGAAAAATAAAACTAACCAATAAACAAAAACAAACAAAATAGAACAAACATGAAAAAAAATAGAGGGACAAAGGGATTAAGGAAGGAAAAGAAAGAAACTAAAATGTAAATTTTGCTCAAGAAAGAAAGAGAGAGAGAGAGAGAGAGAGAGAGAGAGAGAGAGAAAGAAAGAAAGTAGGACATACAGACAGACAAAAGCATGGAAGCCTGTTTCCGCCACTGAATAAAAAAAAAACTTTGTCACAATTACGACTTTTCTTCTAGCAATTGCGAGTTTACATCTCACAATTCTGAAAAGAAACAAAGAAACAAAAATATAAATTTTGCTCTAGAGAGAAAGAGAGAAAGAGAGAGAGAGAGAGAGAGAGAGAGAGAGAGAGAGAAAGAAAGAAAGTAGGACATACAGACAGACAAAAGCATGGAAGCCTGTTTCCGCCACTGAATAAAAAAAAAACTTTGTCACAATTACGACTTTTCTTCTAGCAATTGCGAGTTTACATCTCACAATTCTGACTTTTTTCTCAGAATTATGAGATATAAACTTGCAATTGTAAGTAATAAAGTCAGAATTGCAAGATACT